GCTTTTATCCTTTAAAATTATAATAACTGACTTACTGTGTGTTCATTAGAAGAATTGATTACTTTGTATTTTCTTTTCTGATCAATAATAAAGATTCTTGATGAATCTAAATTACTTCTTGATGAAGTATTCGTTAAAGTATTAAAGAACTTTTGTGTTCTACCTTTCTTACAAAATCTTTTATAAATACTCTGAATTCTTCATGAATTCATTTAGTTCTTGATGAACTTCTTTTATCTTTTAAAATACACTTTATTCTTAAAAGTTCTTTGTGAACTTGTTAGATTCTTTGTGAATCTTTTAGTGCTTAGCTAACAAATAATGGTATTAAAAGATTATTTCATATTTTGCTTATTCCTCCACACTTTTTCACACGATACAATCATTACTTACTGTTCTAGTAAAGATCTTTATCAGTAAAGGCTACTAACGGTAATAATATATAGCGAATTTGAGTTACGCTGATCTATATGTTATTTATATATATAGATTACAAAGTAAAATTAATAAAAGTAAAGATCTATAACATGTTGGAACATGATAACTATTGTATAATATTAAAAAGAAATTTGTGTAAAATCTATGTGTTACTAATTAAATTAATGTAACAAGAGATTAAAATAAAGTATCAATAAAATTTAAAATATAAATGATATAATAAAAATAAAAGATAATTGGATAAAAATATTGATTATTGTTATTGAATAATAATAAAAGAAAATTATAAGATATAGAAAAATAAAAATAAAATAATAGAAAAAATATTATTGCGCTTTTAAGATTAAAGATGTATTAAAAAGGTGATGAAAGGTAAAATGGTAACAATATAATATTTTGAGCTCCTGCAAAAAAATATATCCTATATTTGATATAAAAATTATGATTAGTGCTCAATATTTGAATATAAACATATGATTCTTTTTATTTTTCTATCAGGAAGTTTACGAATAATGCTTCAAGACAATGCTAAATCATGTAATCTTTAATACAAGAAAATAAAAATATGAAAAACAGATATCAAAATTTAGCTTGAAGTACTAACAAAAAATATCAGAAAAGCAATTTTACATATAATCTTATTTTTAGCTATAACCCTAATCCTAATCCAAACCTTTAATATCATTCACGTGAGCGTGAATTTTTTTAAGGCCACGTGATCATGCGCTGTTCTAAACTTCCCGTTTTTCTATTTGAGAGTTTATATGTGATAATGTATAAAATAATCGTGATTCTTGTATATTGTTTTTATGAACTTTTTCAGTTGCGTTTGATGTAATAATTACTTTTCCATTCAACTTGACATGATGTCATATAATCGGAGAACTGCAGTGATACCAAAACCGATTAACAAATAGAATAGGATAAAAGGCTTTGGCTTTAAGTAATTCTGGTAATTTGAGTGAACATAAACACTGATGAAGTATAATATATTTGAATTTTTCCTTCCTAAGTGGCCTAATTTATAGTAAATTTAATATTTTGAAAAAAATATTCTTTACATTTTACTTTCTATCTCCCTGCTCGCTTCTCGCCTTTGCAATTTCCAACAATTCTCCAAATTCACCAGTACGTTCACACATTTCTCGGAATATAGAATCCGTATTTGTTAAAAGTGTATATGGATGATCAAATTCGACCACCTTTCCAGCATCTTAAATGATCAAATAAAATTATTAGTATTATATAAATAGAGCGCGTTAAATAAATAAAGTAAAAAAAAATACCTAATACTAGAATCCTATCATAATCCACTACTGTTCTTAAACGATGTGCGATACACAACAAGGTAGCATAACCAAATTCTTGACGTATCGTTTCTTGAATCATCCGATCCGTTTTAAAATCAACACTTGCTGTTGCCTCATCCATTATAATCACTTTAGATCTACGTACTAATGCTCTTGCGAGTGCAATTAGCTGTCTTTGACCTTGAGAAAAATTACTACCATTTTCACTAACGGGTGAATCTAAGCTCCATGTAATTTTATTTTGCGAATTTTCAGTTGGTGATTGACTGCTACTAGAATCATTATTCTTCGAGGAATCATCCTCAACTAAGTGAGCCCTTCGAATTGCATTCCATAATGCATCATCATCAAATTCTCCAAATAGATCCAAGTTACTCCTAATAAATAATACGTATATAGCAAAATAAATTAAAAGTTTAAACAAAATCTACAGAATAAGCTAAGAAATTATAGCAGTTACAAAATACTTTACCTTAAGGTTCCACTAAAGAGCACAGGGTCTTGAGGGATTATGGTAAGTTTACTTCTTAAATCAAAAAGACCAATTTTTGAGATATCTACGTCATCAATGATAATTTGACCGGAAGTTGCTTCAATGAACCTAAAGAATGACATGGCTAATGTAGATTTCCCGGATCCTAATTATACGAGAATAATGATTAATCAAGTCCATGAAGTAAATGACCAACATTCGGTTTGCTATTTATAAAAATGCTATTACCAGTTCTTCCAACGATTCCAATCTTTTCTGAAGGGCGAACATTAAATGAGACATTTATTAACACTGCAGGACTCTCCGGAGTATACTGCATCACAAGATTTTTCACTTGAATATCGCCTTTTGATGGCCAATCAGAAGGTGGTCTATGGTCATCAATAATTCTTGGCGGTTCTTCCTCCAATTCCAAGTACTCGTGAACTCTCTCAACTAAAAAAAAAAAACAAAAAATTAAACTTAAGATAGAGAATATCAAGAGCACAAAGAAAATTAATATACTAATAAACCCATGCCTGCATTCATATTCAGCTCTTGCAAGGCATACATGCGAATCACCCATACTACATGCCCAGTGAAATTCAAGGCATATGTAAGCGTGAAACCTGCCAAGCCTGGATCCATCCCATTTGAAAGGCTGTAAATAATTATAACACCTGTGGCTAAACTTACAAGCCCACCAGCAATATCAACACGAATATGAAGCCAACGATTACACGACCAATTGAAAATGAATGGTCTGTTATTTCCATCTACTAGATTCAACATTTTCTTGATTAATCTTTTTTCTGCTCCGAATGCTCGAATGGTAGATACACCGATAATTGTCTTTAAAATGCGAAAAAAAATTGCATTGGCTGATTGAAAAGGTGCTTTCGATATTTAATAACAAATATTTTAATAAATCCATCTTACCTCGCCAAATGCAGCATATATTGGTGATCTATTAACGGATTCCAGTCCTAAAAAAAATCAGATAATATTATAAAAATCTGCGATTTATAATGAGGTAGATAGTTCAAATGAAAGACTGAGAATCTATTACGTTTGAGGTCTCGAGAAGTAGCAATGTAAAAAGCACCAATTACTACATAGATAGCTGCAATAAAAGCGCCGGCTATCAAGAATTGCGGTATCACGCAGGAAATAACGAATATCACAGATGCTGTAGCGATACAAGAATAAAGAAGGAACACTATTACAGGGGATAACTCTTGATCAATCGTCTCCATATCTTTAGAAAAACGATTCATGATTCTTCCTTTAAATAAACAAAAATCATTAATTAGAATTGAATTGGCGTTAATAATTATGGTAAGCTCGACACATAAAAAAATAATCATTACCTATAGGTGTAGTATCAAAAAATCTAAATTTTGCATACAAAATTTTCTCCAACATATCACCATGTAAATTCCTGGACGCTACTAACGAACCCGTAAACACATAATATGACCTAAATGATGCTACTGTCGTAGCACAAAGGCCAATCAAAACGTAAACGAAGATATAATAATCCACATTGACTTGCTGTTTATCTGATTCCGTATTAAGAACCATATGATTGTAATCGGAAGATGGCAATGCTAAAATATTTCCTGTAAGATAACTATCGGGTATAATAGAAGTGATTCCCCAAGAGGCAATAATGGATGAAGAAATTTTTGAAATGAACACAGAAATATGACCACTAATATCAGTGTAAGCTTTGGTCCATTCTCGAATCCACCAGTCTGAATTATAATTTTAGATTTGCAGATGAATAGGTTAGATCAAATTAATTATTTTAGTATGGTAACACAAAAAAACAAGAGCAATAAACTATTAGTCTAACCTCGACCAACTTCCAGCGCTTGTGTCAGGAGAAACACAAAGGCTACCACCATCCAAAACAATAATCCACCAGATGCTTTAAAGTAGACCTTGTAAATTTTCCATTCAACGGATCCCTCAGCTTTAGATTCCTCTTGTATCAATTTTCCATCACCTTCGCGCATAATTTTCTTTTGTGGTTGGGTTTCGCTTACTTCATCAGTGACATCTTCTACAGTGGCCTTTTCTTCCTCTTGTGTGATATCTCCTAAAAGTCCGTCTTTCAGTACTTTATCAGCAGAGCCTTCACCGATCACTTGACCGTCTTTTATCACTATCACTTTAGCTGCTCCACGTAGGCAAAGTCCCACATGATGTGTAACGAGGATACGGGTTCGATTTTTCATTAAGTCACCCATCAAACATTGCTCATAGATATGTTTGGAGGTATGAGCGTCGACAGCTTTATAAACAAATATAATGAGAATATGCTAATAAAAAATATAAAGCAAGTATATATAAAAACTGTATTGACTTACCAGATAAACAATCATCCAATAAAATAATTTTTGCTTGAGAATAGACAGCTCTGGCCAAAGCTATACGTTGCTTCTGTCCACCAGAAAGGGTTATACCCTTTTCACCAATCTCAGTCTTATCACCAAACTCAAAAATTTCCAGATCTCTGTTAAGAGCACAGATTTTTAACACCGTGTTATAAGTTTCCTCATTATAAGGGAGGCCAAAGAGAATATTATCTTGAATAGTGGCGTTTTGAAGCCAAGCTATTAATGATGTTAGCGGAGTGATGTAATATTGAAAATAAATTTTTCTGTCTTAACTATAACTGGTATTTAAAAAGACTCTCAAACAAAGATAATCGACGTATATAATAAAAATACCCGTTTGAGCAACATAAGCAATGCCGCTTGGTGCACCTCCTAAACCTTTGGAGGAATCTGCAGTATTTCTTGGCAAAAAGATACGGCCACCTAGACATTCCAGTTCACCCAGTAAAGCCATCAATAAACTTGTCTTACCACAACCTGTGGGACCACAAATTATTGATAACTCTCCTACTGGAAAATCAGTATTCAAATTCTGCAGAGTGAATCTATTCGATGGATCCACAGTGGGTGCATCAGTCGGCTTTGGAAGATCTTCCGATGATTTTTTTTTTCCAATTGGCCATTGAAAAGATGCATCTCTGAACCCTATAGTTGGATCGTTAATGCCTGGGGAAGAAAAATTCTGACGTGATACTTCTGGTTCGCTCAAAAACTCCTCAATACGATTAATTGAAACGCGCGCTAATTTATGTAAAGCACAAAGATTATTTTATATCAAGTTAAAACCATTAAAGGAGTTAGAGAGTTACTTTTAATCATACTAACCTTGAATAATTGCGATAACAGTAGCAGGAAATTCATCAACTGCATGCTGAATATTACTGAATAATGCAAGAGCTGTGAAAGCAATAGGTGCGCTCAATTCCTGTAGTGCAAAAAATTTCATTTAACAAAATTGTGATATATGATAGTGAATGCAATAGTAACGATTAAACTAATCTTCAAAATATCTCAGTGAAAGAAACTTTTACAGGGAATCTAATGTATATATATTGTGCCCCAGGTGACGATTTGTCAATCGGCCCAAATCAGAATAGATTAATGTTGGCCGAGTGATCACGTAAATCGACACCTGAGGCAAAAAGGCACAACATAGATGAAGAAAGGAATTTCACTTACATTGCCCAAAAATTTGGTGTACGTCATAAAAACGGACAACATTATAAGAAGTGGTAACGAGATCCAAACAGATTCCAAATAAACCCATTGCATTAACCGATTTTTAATTTCTTTAAGTTCATTATCTCGTGCGCTCATAACTTTATCACGAAATTGCTTTTCCCATGCAAAGAATTTTATGATTCTAATGGCTTGAAGCAGCTATTAATAAAATAATTATAGCAATCAGTTAATCAAATGTATATATATATATATAAAAATAACGATGTGATTTCGATCAAGAGAAATTGAAAGTCTGACCTCATTCATCACTCCCATACGTTTATCTGTCGCCGTCATAAGACGTTTATGGATAACTTCAAAACGTTGGTTGATAAAGGAAGGCAGGGGATAAGTAACCATTATTGTGAGCACACCAGCAAATGCAGAAACTCCAAGCAATGAGTATAAGTACACCATGGAAATGGTGATCTGTATAGGAAAGCTATACACTAGAGAAAGAAGTTTGAACAAAGGTTAAAAGTGAAATGGTTTTTTAACGTATGAAAGATTTTAATATTCTTACAATAGAAAAAATATGCTGCTATTTCAGAAACTTTTAGCGCATCAACAGCCATAAGATTGGTTATCTTTCCGGTTTTATTTTTAGATTCTTCGTCATCAGTGACACCAGAGGTGTCCTTTCTAGATAAAGATTTAAGATATACCTCGCCAATGATTACTGCCTGTAAAGATATAAAATCAGAATCAATAATTTCAGTATATCTTGAATCAACTCTATAAGATTAATATATCCCTAAATTGTAGTACAATACCTTAATTTTGATACAAATTTGTCGACCAATGTGTAATGACTGTTGAAAACAAAAACTCTGCATCACTGTTCCCAGGAATAATCCAACTACATATAAATATGCAGTCGTTTGAGACACTTTATTATTTGGGTAATTTTGCACGTATCGCAATATTTGCTCGAGAAAGTATGGTGGAGCGAGAGCGTTTAAGATTGACCACACAACGGAGTAAATTAACTGAATGGTTAATTCTGTCCGAAATGAGCAAAATAATGATTTAAGGAAAGAAGGCCGCCGAACCCTGTGAAAAACTTTTAGGATATTTTTTGCTTGGTTAAAAGAAGGAAGTTCATAGACATCTTTTTGGGTAAGAGTTTGACGGAATCCTTTGTTGATCAATGGGTTTATCCACGAAAACATAAATTGTTCATAAATTGAGGCTTTCAATTCGGGTGATCGGAATCGACCCTTAAAAATAAATTTAAATTTTAGAGAAAAAAGAAATTCAGGAAAAAAGTTTAGATAACTGTGCAATATGTAAAACTAAGAAATTAGTAAAATATATATATGTGGATTTCGTAGATGTAATACCTCAGCATTAGGTTTTGAATAACTATCATCCAGAACATCTGGAGGCTCCAAGATAGTGATGGCAACCAATACGGATGATAAGGCTAGGATCCATAAGACGAATGTATTCTCTGCTTGGGGGTTTAAATAGAAGGAATAAAGATTGAACAAGGAAGAGATAAAGGTGAGGAAGTTTAATATATCCAAGTGTCCACGGATATGTAATATATTGCGTTGTCGTGACGTAAGGTTAATCAAGGCTAAAACGGTTGCGTACATCTAAAAAAGGTAAAATTGATTAATATAAATAAAACTTTGTGAATATGACATAACTTCAGATAGCTTACCCAAACCGCGGCCTCTATGACAGGAGTGATAAGCCAGTAATCTCCATGTTTTTCCTCATCATGATTTTTCCGTCTCACTAAAGCCAGAAGGCCAAATAAACCCCACAAGGTCAAATTAACCAACAATCGAGTGTAATCAAAAATCTTATTTCCATTAGGAACGAGGATTATATCTGGAACATTGTCGGCATCTGATTCATCATCACTCAACACAACTGTTTGCTCAATCGATCCATAATTTTGATTTAATCTGTCATCAAGTAATCGCTCATAATTTTTTCGCTTTTGACGAATGCGAGTGCTTATAAGAATGCACAATGAGCCGATAGAATATAATAACGGAATCCCGGCGTCGATTACACTAGTTGTACAAGTAAAATAGTTTATTGAATAAGAGCAATGAAATTGGATATTCCATACATGATTACATACACTTCTCTAAAGCAGTTTGTAAACTCATTTTCTTCCCACGGTCCCTGTATTAGAAATTAGAGAAATTAGAGAAATTAGAGTATAGTAGAATAGTAGAATACAAAGACACGAATTTTGGGATATATTTTTTCGAAAAAGGAAAATAGTTATAATCACACACCCAAGGATCGATACCACAAACACCTTTGGAATTTGTCATGTTGAACGATAAATTTTTATTTAGTATCGATATCGATATTTATACTATAATACATCATCATTTTCATTGGCTAATAATGCATAAACATAGTGTTACAGTTAAATGCAAATCGAATTCGGCTTATACCGATACATATTGATATACTGATTTTAAAAGCGCGCCCTACATATCAAAGTTTATAATATAAGATATCCCGATTTTTACGACTTTTAACTATTTAAAACTCCCTATATAGCGAAGTTTATAATACAAGCCCTATATACCGGCCCAAAAGTGTCAATCCAATGCGGCCGTTGTAAAGGACTTAGAGTGTAATGTATGATATCCAATACTGCGCCAAAACTCCAAAATTGATTGTAGATCTTATACATAATAATTAATTTGACCAATCAGAATTCTTTATTTTATATTAGTAAAAATTTTAATTATTACAACTTTTTGAAAATATAAAATAAAAAATCCTTTTACAGAATTATAGTTTTACTAAAAAAAACTATCAGAATGATTTTTTTATATCTCTTAGATTATTTGAAATCCAGGACAAATTTATAAATAAATAATTTAAAGAATAAAAACTTGATTTTTTACTAATAAAATTATTTTTGATGTAACAAGTAAACTTTTTTATTAAGTCTTATAATATAATAAATGTTATTTAATTTAAATAATATATTTATTTAGATATATTTTATTTATTAACTTTTATATATTCAAAATATAGGACAAATTCATAAGTTAAACAGTTTAAACGATAATTATTAATTATCAAATTATTAAAATTAGATAATTTATACTATATATGATAATTTAAATTAAAATATTTAACACTAAATAATTTGCAAAAAAATTTTTAAATTAGAATTTAGAATTTTTAGAACTTATATAATAATTTAAAATATTTAGAATTATTAATTTAATTTTTTGTTGTTTTAGTTTAATATTTTTATAATTTAATATATATTTAATTTGTTAATTATAAAATATTATTAATTATATATTATTTTTAAATTAAAAAAAATTTCTTGAATATTTTTTTAAATATTTTAATTAATTCAAAATAATAATAATATTTACTTTTGTTAAAAAAAAGTTTTAAATTTATTTAGTTATTTATAATATAAATAGTATTATTATAATTAGTTTAAAAAAGAGTTTTTTACTTTTAGTAAAGAAATTATATGAATTAGAAGAGAAAAATAAATTATTAAATTAATTAATACAAAAATAAATATCTAAGTCTATATTAATTTTGATAGAAATTATTAAACAATTTTTTTAAAAGGTAAGAAGAGAAATTGAAAAAGTATATTTAAATATAATAAACTAATAAAAATTACTAACTAAAAACAAATAGTATTAATATTTTTATACTTGTAGATATATATTTTAGTACTTTCAATATTAACAAAAAATAAAATACTATATTCAAATCAAATATTTTTAATCAAAAATTAAAATATTATCAATATTTAATTCAAAATATATTTTATTTTTTCAAAATTTAAAGATTCAATAAATAAAATAATCAAAAATTCAATTTTTCAATATCAAATCAATATTTAATTTCTTAATTTCATTTAAAATTTATAAAAAGTGACTTGAATAACAAAATTTAAAGTTTGATTAAACAAATTATTTTAGTTAGATAACTCTTTTTAATAAAATAAAGATGAGAATAAATATTAATAATATAATAATAAGATATAATTAATTAACTTGTTAGAATAAAAATAAAAATTTATTAATTTATTTGAAATATAAGAGAGTGTGTTGAAATAGTACTTTAATTTATATAAAAATTTTTAATATATTTTAAATTATTTATATTATAAAATATTATAAAAGAGTAGATATAGTAGAATAAATAAAGATAAATAAAGAACATATAAAAATAAATAAAAATAAAAAAGAATAGATATAGTAAGATAAAAAATTATTATTAATTAAAAATAAGATAATACAATCAAATTTCTCTATAGTTATCACTTTTAAAAAAGTAAAATTTGATAAGTATAGAGAAGATGTAACTATAAAGAGATTTTTTTACTATGTTTACATATAAATAAGAAAGCAAAATAGGGTACTTATGGAAGAGTATAATTATAAACAGATATAACTATAAAAAATTTTGACTATATTCATATAATTAAATAAATAAACTAATTTATTGATTAAATATTTTTTTACTATTTTTAGAGATTTTTGTATTTTTATTATTTTTGAATAATTTTTTAATTAGCAAATTTTTGAGAATAATTGTAATAATATTATTGAATTAAAAATAAATTTCAATTTATCAAATCTGATTTTATTAATTTAATTTATTTGTTTTAAAATTTTATTTTAGTTTCACTTTTGTTTTTTATTTTGATTTCACTTTTATTTTTTATTTTTTTTCAATTTTAAATTCTTTCTTAAATAATAAAGTGCATTATATAACAAGTTCTAAAACAATATTTTATAATATAAACAAAAAAATATATATAATTTGTGTAAGAATACTTTCTTACGTGAAAAGTAATAAGATAAATTTATTAATTGCTGTAAATAAATTATATCAATTGAAATAGTTTTCAGTTTTAATTTTAATAAAGCTTATTCTTTATTTATTAAATAATGAAAAGATCTAAAGAGCTATAGTATAGAACAGAGACATTTAAATACATAATTGATGTTATATGAATTACAAATAATTTAATAATAAAATAGAAAGTAATTAGTTCTAAATTATTAATCTTAAAGGTGACGTGTCTTCAAATTATACTATACATAATGAATATGTATGAAATATAAATAATAATAAAAGACAATTAATATGAATTAAAACAAATAATAAAAGAAAAGAAAAAGAATGAATAAAAATAAAAGTAATTAAAAACAATGTGTATTCAAATTAATAATATGATTTATATTTTATATCTAATCTAATTAGCGCAACATTAAGAAGTATTAAATGTAAATCTGTATTAATTTCTAATATGTTATACAAAAAATAATAAATATAACATGAAAAAAGATAAATATGATACAAGAAATTACAAGAATATGTGAAAATTGTTAAAAATTCGTAAATTAATTAATTAGTACAGTTATTCAGAACACTATATCTAATTGAAACACTATTAGCTTATCCTTTTCTCCTCTTGAACTATAACAATTTTGGTAGAAATTGGTATAGGACTTAGATATTATTTTTATATTACTCTTATATTTGTTTAATTATTTCTTTTAACTCTTGTTCACATTTATTAACTAATTACTCTATTAGTAAAAAACGTATAATATTACATAGATTACCAAAAACTATTATTTCAGATAAAGATATTAAATTTATCAGTTAATTTTAGAAATTATTATTTAATCAATTAAATACTAAATTGGCTATGTCAATAGCTTTTCATTCACAAACTGAAAAATTAAATAGAACTTTGGAAAAAATGCTTAAAATTTTTATTACATATAAGTAAGATAACTGGAATGAATGTTTAGTTGCTACAGAATTTGCTAACAATAACAGTAAATAAGTATCTACCCAACATACTCTATTTGAATTAGATTGTGAATAATCATCTTATATATTCATTATTATTAATGCTAATAATAAAGTAATAGTCTCTCAAGAATTTTTGGAATACTGGAATACTATGATAAAAATAACAAAAGATGTATTGATAAAAGCTCAGAACAGATAACAAAAATATGCAAATCAATATTATAAATTTGAAAAATTTGAAATTGATCAAAAAGTTCTTTTATCAACTTATTTTATTAACATACTTATTGATAAATAAAAATCAATAAGAAAGTTAAATGTTAAATATATTGAACCATTCAATATAATTAACAAAATTTCATCAGTTACATATAAATTAGAACTTTCAAACAACATGAAAATATATTTAGTTTTTTATATTTTACTACTAAAGTTATATAATAAAGATAATAAATTTAATAAATCAATATTATCACTAGCTATTATTATATTAGACAATAAAGAAAAATATGAAGTTGAAAATATTTTAAACAAATGCATAGTGAGAAAATAATGATTGTATCTTGTAAAATAAGCTGGATATTCTTTGTATGATTTTACTTGGAAATCTTTGAACAATCTCAAAAATGCAATGGAAAAAGTTAAAGCTTTTGAAAAAATATATTCTTAATTCAATGTGAATATTAACTTTTAAGAGAGAGTAATTATAATAATTTTCATATACTCTTGTAATTTCTTGTATCATATTTATTATTTTTTGTGTTATATTTATCATTTTTTGCATAACATATTAAAAATTAATACAGATCTACATTTAATACTTCTTAATATTTCACCAAATAGATAGATATAAAATATAGATTATATTATTAATTTAGATACATTTTGTTTTTTTTTATTTATTATTTTAAATTTGTATTAATTATCTTTTATTATTATTTATATTTTATATATATCTTATTAAGTATAGTATAACTTGAAAATATATTATTTTTAAGTTTAATAATTAAAATCAATCACTCTTTATTTTATTATTAATTTATTTGTAATTCATTAAATTTCAATTATATATTTAAATATCTCTGTTCTGTACTATAGCTTTTTAGATCTTTCACTATTTAATAAATAAAAAAATAAGCTTTATTAAAATTAAAACTGAAAACTATTTTAATTAATATATTTATTTATAATAATTAATAAATTTATCTTAATACTTTACACGTAAGAAAGTATTTTTACAAACCAGGTTAAAGATTTTTCTAAATGAATTATATTATTATCTTTATTATAATTATAATAATACTTGACTTCTGCATCAAGAAGTTATTTTCACACAAGAACATGATCCTCTTGTTATTATTTTTTGTAATTGTGATCATGCAAAATGAAAACATCAACAGACTCATAGATGAAATTGTTTCCAAATCTTTTTTAATATGGGATTCATTAATCAAATCACTATCTGGCAAAGAAAAATAATGTGCAAATACAAATACTTGAAGTGAGC